ATCAGCATCCATGTCGGTGCCGCTTCCCCCATGGTCTCTGATGCTGATGATGAGGCGCCTTTACAGCAAGAGGCGCGAGGCTCGGTGCAAACCAACGTTGGCAGAGGGCGAGAGCACGCCACAGCCAGTCGTGCAGTCAGCAGCACAGCCAACCCCCACGAAACACGCGCCAACCCCGTCGGCCTCGATCATTTGCGTGCCAGTACCATCGGCCTCGGGTTCAACCTCGTCTCCGGCGCGATCGGCTGCAAGCTCAGCCTCGGGTACACTGCGGCGTAAGTGAGTGCCGCTGGCTGCTAAAACTACTTGTATCTCTGGGTCTGACAATCATGACGATGGCAACGGCGTCGCTACCAGCCCTGCTCCCTCAACATCCAAGCGAACGGCATCGGATGTCACGTGCACAGCTGCTGCTTCTTCAACAGCGGCGCAAGCAGCAGAGTCGCATCTTCCCGCAGCAAAACGAGCAGCATCGAGTGATGCGCGCACCGCCACCGTTGCCGCTACTGCTACCACTTGCTCTGAAGCCACGGTATCTGCTGCGGCTACGCCTTCGAATCGGCACAACGTCGCGCCAATATTTCGGCCGAAATCGGGGACAGAAAAAAAATATCTGATGAACTACGCGGCGGCTGACAAGTTTATTGGCGTTCTGAAGTTGATGGATGATTATTGCATGCGATGTACTATTCGACAGGCGAAACCCGTCCTGAAGGCCGAGCATCAATGCGTATCTAATCGTGGTTGCAAGCGGTGTCACTTCGGAGGACACGAGACAAGTGAATGTTTCGTGGGCTTCGCATATCCCAAATGGACGTGCTGCTACGCTTGTGGAATGCCAAAGGGGATTCGTGGATGGGATACACGGAATCACCGTTGCGGGCAGTCTCAAGGACTGGATTCGGGCCTGAGCTGTCTCCTCCTTTATTCGGACTGTCATTCGGGGCTGCGCGACCTGGCAAAACGGATGGGCTACAACTTGAGGGTACAGACATTGAAGGATTTAAAAACGCGCGACTTGTTTGTCAAGTGGCTGTACTCGCCCGTTCCTGGTCTACCTCCAGGGGATGGGCATTGGCGTCTTGTGGAATTTGTGTTTGAAAGTGCGAGGATCCTGCTCCGCAGTGCGGCGAAAGCCCAAGTCGGCCCCGACAGTTTTCGCTAAACACACACACATGAAGCTCTTTAGAATCAGAACACAGAACCGAATGTCAGAATGTCATCATCTTTATTATCTTCAATAACTGCTGAAACGACTGCGACTTTTTACTTGGAATGGCTATGATCAGCTTCAATTAATTGAAGCTTTGCTTCATTAACTTCATGCCTCTCTTCCTTCCCTTTGCTCATCATTTTTTTTTCTCACAGACGCGCCACGATGAAGCGGGCCATGGGCGGGGCGCGCGCGCGCTCCTGGTGTGCGTGTCGTCGTTGTGGCGC